TCCCATTTCTGTTCCCTCCCTAGAAGGAAGGGACATTGTGGGGGTGGGAGGGACAGTCCTTGCTCTTGAGTCGGGAAAGTGGATGGGGACCTGTCTAGGACTGAGCACTTGTGCGAAATGGGGAAGACGAGCATGGGGACTGGCTTTTGGATGCTTTGGTGGCTCGAAAGCGTGGTCTGTCTCTCTGGGAGAAAGAAGGGAGGGTCTCCCACCACCGTGTATTAAGGCGTGATGACAACAAGGAAGTGTCACATGCTACTAGGACTGACCTCTCCAGCTCCATTTGCAGCCTCCTCATGGCCTGGAGGGTTGGTGGTCTGTAGAATGGGAGGACTTTGCAGCCTTTCGGGAAACCGACCGGCTCCTGGGCTGTCCCAATGCCTCCGGGGCTAGAGACTGGCTCCTCCCAAGGTGGGAGGTCCCGTTAGGTGAACGCCTGTGTTCTGGCCCTCTGTGGTCTCTGACTAACTCACCCTTGGAGTTGGGTGGGTTCTAGCGTGCACTTGGTCTTATTGTCCATGGAACCGTCTTGATTCTGGGGCAGCTTGAAGGGAGGGAGCTGGTGCTGTCAGTTGGTGGGGACAGGCCCCCTGTGGGCGTCCCATGAACTTTGGCTCTAGGGCAGCATAGAAAAATGGAGACTGGTAGAAAGGGAGATTCTTAATATGATTTAGGTTTCTAAACCTGGACTCTGATCCTAAGTTTGCTGGGTTGAGGTTTCTTTAAAGTTGCTCTTCACGTGTCTGAGATGGAACTTGTGTCCCATAGAGTCCTGTTTTCGTTTTTTGTTTTGTTTCGTTTTTTGAGACCGAGTCGCAGTCTCACCCAGGCAGGGGTGCAGTGGCGCGATCTCAGCTCACCACAGCCTCCACCTCTCCAGTTGAAGTGCTCCTCCTGCCTCAGCCTCCCGAGTAGCTGGGATTACAAGTGTGTACCGCCACACCCAGCTAATCTTTGTATTTTTAGTAGAGATGGGATTTCCCCATGTTGGCCAGGTTGTCTCGAACTCCTGACTTGAAGTGATCTGCCCGCCTTGGCCTCCCAAAGTGCTGGGATTACAGGCGTGAGCCACCGCGTCCAGCCATCCGAAGAATCTTGTTTTCTGTTTTGGTCAAATGAGGATTTCATGTCCCTTGAAGTGATCACTCTGATCAAATTTATTCAGTAAATTGAAAAAAGGATTTTGAGAGTGGTGGATATAAGGGAAAATTGAACTCTTCAGCATCCCAGGAAAACTGGGCTAAAAAAACACACACTTTCTGGTTGTGTGAGCTGGGGCCACTGGTAGAAGGAAGTGTCTGAAAGCTCCGGGAGATGACCTGGGGACCCTCCCTGGCACCTGAGCCTGTGTTCCCGTTAGCCGTAGAATGAAGTCAGTGTGGATTATGGGCTGGCCACAATTAAGACACAAATCACAGCAGAAGGGAAGAGAGGAATTTTGATAATCCCGGATAACTGGTGAGAACCTTGAGGCCTAGGTTCAAAACTCGTTCTAGGATGTCTTAACCAGCTGACTCTTCCCTAAATTGGAGGGCCAGACACCAAGACCTGACGGGCTTTCATGTCCAGGAAATGTTCTGAGAAGTTGACCTGGGTGCCATGGAGGGTTGTTTTTGGTGGTAATTCTTCTGTGCTTACTACTTTATTCTAGATTGCAGCCAAAATTGGAGGCGATGCTGCCACAACAGTGAATAACAGCACTCCTGATTTTGGTTTTGGGGGCCAAAAGAGACAGTTGGAAGATGGAGGTAACTCCCTGCTGCCGTCTTTAGCTTAGGAAGAAGGGCTGGGGGCCTAAAGGGGTGCTTTTGTTTGAGTGTGGTTCAGAGGGGGTGGGTGTTGCTGCTGTTTGGTCTTTTTAAACTTCAGCAATCCCGGCTTTGTTAATTCTTTTTGTTCCGTCTGCCATCCTGAGGTATCAGGTGGCAGAGAGGAGGGCAGATTGATTGTGACTGGGTCGAAGTTGTAAGTTCCCAAGATGATTCCTCCCCTTCTGGGAGGCTGAGGCAACCAGGAGCAGTTAGTGAGTCTTGATGTGAAGTTGGCCCAGCCCTGGGGTGCGTCGTGTGACCGCAAGTAGTGGGTGATCATCTCCTGACCAACTCCACTGTTATCCATGACACCCCTCCCTGCTAGAGGCGGGTGCTGTCCTAAACCGGGAGGACTCAGGTGCCTGGTGGTGTTTGCGTGTTACGAAGGCTTTTTTACTCTGGGCGTTGGTGGCGGGATTGGCGGAGTCTGGCCCCATCAGGGGCCGGTCTCTCCTAGGCTCCTGTCTCAGCTCTTGTTAAGGGTGCGGGCTGAGGGGCACTGGTTACCTTGGACATGTGGCACCAGCATCAGGTTCGAGGTGGCCGTGGGTGGGCGGGTGCTGCATCTGCCACCCTCTCTCTTTCCCAGATCAACCGGAGAGCAAGAAGCTGGCTTCCCAGGGAGACTGTAAGTCCAGGGGGTCTGCAGGCAGATACGTGGCTTCAATGGGTTGAGGTTTTCAGGAGTCAGTGAGGAGGTGGCAGCTCTTTACAGAGGCGCCTGGTGCTTTCATTCTGGGACCCATACATTTGAGGGATCCCAGGACCCCTGAAATTGAGGCAGATGAACTCTGCTTTTATGGGGAGGGGATCCACAGCATCCATCAGGCACTGGAGCAGGCTGGGGACCATGGTGCCAAGCTCAGCTCCCACTGCCCCGGGGCAGGCAGTGCCAAGTGCCCAAGGAGGAGCTAAGCCAGTCTTTGCTTTGGGTTTTCTCTCTACAGCAATCAGTTCTCAACTTGGACCCATCCATCCTCCTCCAAGGTAAGCCACGGTGGGGCCCACACTGCTTTCTTGTCTGTTGGCCAGCAGACTGGCCTTTCTTCTGA